AGATATTTAATACCGCTCGAATTTCCGCGGTTAGCCGGCCGATTGATTAGCTGGATAGTAATGGAGCCGCGGCCGTCAGATTACGCCGACAGACCCCGCGCGCTCGCGCGCGCGCTGGTGTGTGTCGTCGCGGTCGCGCTCGCCTGTGCTCCCCGGCGCGCGGACGCGCAGCCCATGTGCTTCACGGAGCGACCCGTGGTGCAGAAGATCAACAAGCTCTACCAGGGTAAGTTCAGAGATTTAACCATCCGTACCACAGCAGAGAGGCAGGGCATCACAGCTTGAAGCGATGAGGCTTGAATCGAGTCGTACAAACGCCTCATTCCAACACGCCCCCTCTACGCCGCGCCAACCCATCTCCGTGCCACTGCTGGCGCCAGATAAACTTTGGACTCGGATGGGTTGGTGCATGTGACGCTGTCAGGCGCCATCCATCAGGGCAAGGCAACAAGGGCGCGGAGGTAGCTCTAGTCGTGCTCTGCAGGTCCCTCATTCCTCCCCTCGTCCGCTCCTCCCCTCCTCCTCTTGTTCCTCGTCCTCTCGTCCCCTCCCACCAGAGAACTTCGGGTTCGAGGGGTTGGTGCATGTGACATTATCGGGCGCCGTGCATCACGGCAACAAGGGCGTGGAGGTGTGGCTGCAGAACTTCGCCCCGGGCTACGCCACCAACGTGCGCTCGCAGGAGCAGGTGAGTGGGGGGGAAAGGGGTGAGGGCGACTGAGGGAGAGGCGGTGCAGGGGAGAGCAGGCAGTGCTTTTGAGTCGACTCAAAAGGTGCAGGGGAGAGCAGGCAGTGCTTTTGAGTCGACTCAAAAGGTGCAGAGGAGAGCAGGCAGTGCTTTTGAGTCGACTCAAAAGGTGCAGGGGAGAGCAGGCAGTGCAGCAGCAGGTGAGGGGCAAGGGAGAGGAAAGCGGTGGTCACTGTGTGAGGGCGTGGAGGTGTGGCTTCAGACGTTCGCCCCGGGCTATGCCACCAACGTTCGCCCTGGGCTATGCCACCAACGTTGGCGTGTGGGTCTGGGCAGGAGCAGGTGCGTTGGCAGCCCACCGAGTTGCACACTGGCCAGCTGGCCTGGCCAACGCGTGGCAGCCACGCAGTATCTGCCACAGCAGTATCTGCCACAGCAGTATCTGCCACAGCAGTATCTGCCACAGCAGTATCTGCCACAGCAGTACGTGCACAGGCAGTCACATCAAGAGTGCAACTTGGTCCGATAACTTTCAGAAACAGATGCTGTCTACGCTCGTGATCGTCCTCTGTTCGCCCGTATCCCCACCTCTCCTGCCATCTCGTTCCCCACACCCCATGCTTTGCTCTCCCTCTCCCTCCCTGCCACGCCTTTGAGAATTCTCAGCAACACACCGTGGTGGTGGTGGTGGTGGTGGTGGTGGTGGTGGTGGTGGTGGTGGTGGTGGTGGTGGTGGTGGTGGTGGTGGTGGTGGTGGTGGTGGTGGTGGTGGTGGTGGTGGTGGTGGTGGTGGTGGTGGTGGTGGTGGTGGTGATGGCGGTGCTGCTGCTGCTGCTGGGTCAGGACAGGAGGTCGCTCTGTCCCCTCCACTGCCTGTCACTCATTCACCAATCATTGTCTGCCACTTGTCATCCTTTATCCACCCTTATTCTCCCCTCTGCTTCCCTCCTGGACACAGTGGTGGTGGTGGTGCTGAGGGGCGAGGCTGCGCTGCGCTGCGCTTCCACCGCCTGTCACTACGTCTCTCACTTGTCCCCCATCGTCCCCCTCTTCCCCCCTGCACCCCCTCTGCTTTCCCCTCACCTCAGGACACAGTGGTGGTGGTGCTGAAGGGGGAGGGCGCGGTGCGCTACCGTCCCAAGAGCACCGACCTGGTGTCATGTCACCTGCTCCTTTTCTTGAGACGCACCCCCTGCCCCTCCTCCCTCCCCTTCCCCCCCTGCAGGACACAGTGGTGGTGGTGCTGAAAGGGGAGGGTGCGCTGCGCTTCCGTCCCAACAGCACAGACCAGGTGTCGCCGGCACCCTTCGCCTCCACGCCCTTCCATGCCAACTCCACCGTCATCATTCCGCGCAACACCGTTCACCAGGTACGGCAACGAGGCGAAACAGGTTGTAGCAGGCTAGAACTGGACATTGAAGATTCCTGGAAAGGGTGCACCATTGGGCAGGTAGCAAATCATCTGTTCGAGGGCATTTTCTACTGAATCAATCAAGGGGTGTGTTAGTTGGATGGAACAGGTCGCAGCGTTCGCAGCCCTTTTCGCCAATTTCACCCTGATCTGATCACTCCCCGCAACACTGTTCACCAGGCGCACCGGGGCGCTTTCCCGCTTCCCCCACTCGGGCCTCCCTCATTTGCCTATCGCATCTCAACTTGCATATTGCTTCCCCTCCCCCTCTCTTCCAGCTGGTGAACAGCGGCAAGAAGCGCCTGCAGTTCCTGCACATATTCGGCAAGCCGCCCATCAGGTTCAGGGAGTTCACATCATGGGAGGAGGCTCAAGGCAAAAAGGTCTTCCCAGGGCCCTTCGACCGCAAGTGCCTTCCTGGCAGCTTCTTCGGCGGGCACAGGGCCCCTCCCAGCCGGGATGTGTGACGCGTGACGAGGGAAGAAGCTGGTGGCGTCAGCCAGGTGCGCGAGTCCATATGGTCCTCTCGGCACGAGTCCATATGGTCCTCTCGGCTTAACAACAACTTCCAGTTCAATAATTGGATTATTGCTGCATATGGTTTCCTTGTACAATAGCCATGACTGCGCCGTTGGGATGGCTTATTGATGGACAGGCACAGGACAGGACGGCTTGAAAGCTCGTTGCACCAGGGGCACGTGGAAGAGTGTGGGAGGGGGGGGAGTGCTCGTGCTGTGATTAGTGTGTCAAGCGAGAGTGTCACAGCAGCTGCTGCCTGGGGGGCAGCACACAGGGCTACGATGACTCTGGGCGCTTTCCTGGCGGCGTCTTCAGCGCATCACTTGTTTCCCTTGAGTAGGGTTGGGTAGTACGTAGGCATCATCTGAGTTTGTGTATGCCAGCCCACAGCACTGAAGCCATGAGATGAATGCACGCTGTAGTTGCAATATTACTCATGCTTGTCTCAGCGCTCAGAAGGATGACCAAGACACGGTGCTCCAACAGCACAGGCTCATCCGACAACCACGTACGCAACGCAAGCTCTTGTGCGGTGGCAACACAGTGGTACAGTACACTACAATACGGCACCGTCATCGCCCGGATATAAGACATATATGTCTTATCTCGTACACTAAAAAAAATGCTTGGGTTATCTTGTATTTGGGGAGGTTTTGGGTGTCTTATAAGTCTTATAAATGGAAACTTTTTTAAAATTCTTAGAAATATTTGTACACATCGTGAAAAGAGTTTCTCATTATGAGTATGGATGTTGCGAAGGTGTCACTTCGGCAACCATTGTTCGGGACGCTACGTCATGGAGAATACTTGCAGAGGCAAATTTGGTAGTACGTGAGTCAGCGCGTGGCAGAATTCGCGTGTCGCAAGGGTAAAAATGTACGCGGTATTTCAATTTTCACTAAAATATATTGCAGTTTCGATTATAAGACACATATGTCTTATCTCGTACACACAAATAGGTGTCTTATAATGACGCTAGCCTGTTTATAAGAGACACCCGTATAATAGACAACCCCTGTCTACTATTCAACACTGTCTTATATCCGGGCGGATACGGTAGTCATCGTGCATAGCACATCACACAAGTGCCTCACATCACATGACCCTATGCCCAGGGTAATCCTCCCTAATCATGCATGTCACCATGCATGTCACCATGCATGTCGCTGGTCGCCCCCAAGCATCAGCGGTCAGCGCACCAGCAGACCACTGCCACACTAAGAACCGTCGCAAGGCTGCAGTGCAGCACAGCGCAGCACCACAGTTGTCGGATGCATGTCCGATATTCAGTGTAACACCACAGCTGTCAGATGTCCGATGCGCCTCCACCCACACGCCTGGGCCTCGCGAAGCTATTCTGGGAGCCCTTGCATGGCGAGCAGCCACTGGAGGGACCGCTATGAAGACTACCGTGAGGATGAGGAGGCGACTTTTGAGTCGACTCAAAAGCCCCCTGAAAGAATGAGTAAGAATAACTATTGTGTCCACCAACCACCCCTCGCAGGGCTGGTGTGAGCAGCACGAGGGCATCAATAAATAGGTCTCCAAACCAGTCAGGTGAATCCGCAGCTACTGTCAGGTGATGCGGAAGGACTGCTGCTCCCCTTTTGCCCTCCTCCCTCCTCTCCTCTATCCTCCTTTTCCCCGCCTTCCTCTACTGAACGCCACATTTCAAGTCACATGCCAAGTACGAGACGACCCAAGTGTCACCCTCACCATATGCCTCCACACTGGGCACCACCGCACCTCACACCACCCCACCTCACACCACCCCATCACATACCACCGCACCCACCCCGCCTCACACCATCCCACCTCACGTCCCCACAGGAAGCTACGTCTTCTTGTTCTTGGTGCGCCGCACTGCTCCCTGCTCGCTCCTGCTGCTGGGCTGTGACAATGCTGCGCTGCTGCTGCTGCCCGTGGTGGTGGTGGCCGTGCTGCTGCTGCCAGGGGCTGGCCTGCTGGCGTCAGCTGCTGCTGTGCTGCTGCTGCTGCTGGTGGTGCTGGTGGTGGTGGGGGTGGGGGGGGTGGAGGCGGGGGGCTGAGGCTTGGCCTGAGAGCCAGGAGCTTGGTGGGGTGATGCGTGGGTGGGGGGCGGGGGACGGATGCACCTGGAGTGGGGGACGAGGGATGAGGGAGGGGAGGAGTGAGGGAGAGATGGAGCGAGGGAGAGGGGTTTCGGTTCGGGAGAACGGTGTTACACAGATGCGGTTGCTGGTGTTCCAAGGGAAGTGGGCAGCACATGTGGTGGTGGGCGTGTGTAATGCATGTGGCACGTATACCAAACACTTACAGCCTGCATGGGGAATGCACTCAGGCAAACGATTGCAGTCAGGGAGATACGCAAGAGAGCAGGGAGGTAAGAACGAGTTCAATGACTCACAGCATGGTGTGCAGAAGGTTGAAGAGCGGTGCAGAGGGGTCCAGATGCGAGTCAGTCACGACCTCCCACGCACTGTGGGCTACCTGGAAGGTCGAACAGGGCGGGGGGCAGTGAAGGCGGCTGGATGAGGAGGGCAGGGACGTTGGGTGGGTGGTAAGAAGTGGTACGGGTGGGTGTGGGCGATGGGTGGGGAAGGGACAACCGTGAAACATGTTATGAGGAGAAGGAAAGAGGTTGAGGGGGAGGGGGGTAGGAGCTTAGCAAGTTGGAAAGCGTGAGGATGGTGGAGCGGGAGGGAGAGGGCATGGTGAGGAGAAGGGTGTAAGGGAACAGGAGGCAGAACGGGAATACGCAGGAAGGCAAGGATGTGTCATGCTATGAATGCAATAACGACTCACCAGGGAAAACAGTGGGTGCAGCAGCAGCTCAAAGTAGCACCAGCAGCTACATCAGGTGAGAGCAGGTGAGGGCAGGGCAGGTGAAGGCAGGTGAGGGCAGGTGAGGGCAGGTGAGGGCAGGTGAGGGCAGGTGACAGCAGGGTGCAGTGCGGTACAGACCATGGCAGAGGCGATAGCCCCGTAGGCAGCATGTCTGGAGCACACTGCTGTCCAGTGCACTGCTACTGTGTAGAAGAGCGCCCCCAGGAAGGCCGAGCGTGAGTACCTGGGGGGGGTTGGAGAGGGGGTGAGGTGAGGAGGGAGAGCAGCAGCAGGTGCGAGTGGCATGTGGTAGAGGTGAGTACAGCAGAGGCGATGCCCCCTGGCCTCATAGGCTGCATGTCTGGAGCACCATGCTGTCCAATGCACCGTGAAGGTGTAGAAGAGGGTCACCAGGAAGGCCGAGCGCGAGTACCTGGGGTTGATGGAAAGGAGAGGGGAGGAGGAAAAGCAGCACGTGAGAGCGCGTTGCTGTCCAGTGCACTGTGAGGGCCGTCCAGGTACAAGAGCGAGACCACGCAGGCCGGGCGAGTGAACCTGTGGTGAGAAAGTCACTTAGTTGCCCATGTTTGCAGAGAGCCTTTTGGGGGGCGGAGAGGAGGATTTTTGTTAGGAACACACGCGTGTGTTCAGCTCATGTGTGGGCAAACGAGTACCTGCAGTGCAGTGCATGCGTCGATTCACAAGTCACCTCATTGATTACGATAGGGAAACATGTATGTTCAGCACCTGTGCGCGAACACGAGTACCTGCAGTGCATGAAATTGCAGCTTAGAGTTCTGGGGCTAGCGAGCAGTAGCGGGCAGGTTCAATATGACTTTTGAGCCGACTCAAAAGTCACCTCGCATACTTGACGTGGGTGATACAGACCGTGAGGGGAGTGATACGGACTTGAGGGGAGTGATACGGACCGTGAGGGGAGTGATACGGACCGTGAGGGGAGTGATACGGACGGTGAGGGGAGTGATACGGACCGTGAGGGGAGTGATACGGACCGCGAGGGGAGTGATACGGACGGTGAGGGGAGTGATACGGACCGTGAGGGGAGTGATACGGACCATGAGGGGTAGAGCAGCTCGGGATGATTGGAAGCGGAGGGAGAGACGAGGGCTAGCACTGCGTCGTATATGAGCTGACCCCCACAGCCTGGCGCACGGGGGATTGATGGGGTTGACGATTGTGAAGGGGAAAATGAGGAGGGGCAGGAGGGAGACGTGGGCAGGTACAGCATCGTCGATACGGCCGCCTCCACAGCATGGCACACAGTGACAGGGTGAGAAGGAAAATGTTATGTGGACATGCGAAAGAAGTAGAGGTGGGAGTGTTGGATGCATGGCAGACTGCACAGCACAGCACGCTCTCTGATGTGAATCACGCTCTCTGATGTGAATCACGCTATGAGATCACGCTCTGATGTGAATCACGCTATGAGATCATGCTCTGATGCGAATCACGCTATGAGATCACGCTCTGCGTGGTTGCACGCTCCAGGAGGTGCCTCCGCAGCCCACCTGCCCGTTACTGAAGGTGCCCATCATGGCACGGCTGCATTATCAGACGCATCGTGCTGAAGCATCGTGGTAACGCCTCAGTGCATCCTTCCCTGCATGTATGGACGCATGTGTGGACGCCCGCACAAGGAACGCCCGCACAAGGAACGCCCGCACAAGGAACGCCCGCACAAGGAACGCCCACATATTGCAAACGCATGAGACGGTGAGTGAAAAGGCGCAAGCGAAGGAGCACCAGAGAGCGTGCCGATCAAGAGAGGCGCCACTGTGACGTGCAGTCCAAAGTGCTGTACTGCTGCATCCACCTGGGGGGAGCAGGAGACATGGCAAGCAGAGGGGGAGCAGGAGACATAGGCGCAGATACAGCAGGCACACAGAGGCGGAGATACAGCAGGCACACAGAGGCGGAGATACAGCAGGCACACAGAGGCGGAGATACAGCAGGCACACAGAGGCGGAGATACAGCAGGCACACAGAGGCGGAGATACAGCAGGCACACAGCGGCGGAGATACAGCAGGCACACAGCGGCGGAGATACAGCAGGCACACAGAGGCGGAGATACAGCAGGCACACAGAGGCGGAGATACAGCAGGCACACAGCGGCGGAGATACAGCAGGCACACAGCGGCGGAGATACAGCAGGCACACAGAGGCGGAGATACAGCAGGCACACAGAGGCGGAGATACAGCAGGCACACAGAGGCGGAGATACAGCAGGCACACAGAGGCGGAGATACAGCAGGCACACAGAGGCGGAGATACAGCAGGCACACAGAGGCGGAGATACAGCAGGCACACAGAGGCGGAGATACAGCAGGCACACAGCGGCGGAGATACAGCAGGCACACAGAGGCGGAGATACAGCAGGCACACAGCGGCGGAGATACAGCAGGCACACAGAGGCGGAGATACAGCAGGCACACAGAGGCGGAGATACAGCAGGCACACAGCGGCGGAGATACAGCAGGCACACAGCGGCGGAGATACAGCAGGCACACAGCGGCGGAGATACAGCAGGCACACAGCGGCGGAGATACAGCAGGCACACAGCGGCGGAGATACAGCAGGCACACAGCGGCGGAGATACAGCAGGCACACAGCGGCGGAGATACAGCAGGCACACAGCGGCGGAGATACAGCAGGCACACAGAGGCGGAGATACAGCAGGCACACAGCGGCGGAGATACAGCAGGCACACAGCGGCGGAGATACAGCAGGCACACAGCGGCGGAGATACAGCAGGCACACAGCGGCGGAGATACAGCAGGCACACAGCGGCGGAGATACAGCAGGCACACAGCGGCGGAGATACAGCAGGCACACAGAGGCGGAGATACAGCAGGCACACAGAGGCGGAGATACAGCAGGCACACAGCGGCGGAGATACAGCAGGCACACAGCGGCGGAGATACAGCAGGCACACAGCGGCGGAGATACAGCAGGCACACAGCGGCGGAGATACAGCAGGCACACAGCGGCGGAGATACAGCAGGCACACAGCGGCGGAGATACAGCAGGCACACAGCGGCGGAGATACAGCAGGCACACAGCGGCGGAGATACAGCAGGCACACAGCGGCGGAGATACAGCAGGCACACAGCGGCGGAGATACAGCAGGCACACAGCGGCGGAGATACAGCAGGCACACAGAGGGGGAGAAACAGCAGGCACACAGAGGGGGAGAAACAGCAGGCACACAGAGGGGGAGATACAGCAGGCACACAGAGGGGGAGATACAGCAGGCACACAGAGGGGGAGATACAGCAGGCACGCAGACGGGGAGATACAGCAGGCACACAGAGGGGGAGATACAGCAGGCACACAGACGGGGAGATACAGCAGGCACACAGAGAGGATGGAATGGAATGGACAGAGTCACGGATACTTGATATTCTTTGAGACATATTCGTTGAAATACCTCAAAGAGTCCAGGCAGAACAGCAAACAGGCAGAACTCAACAGACTCCCCATGACTTGCAGTGCTTGGCACCAGACGCTGGCACAGCCACAGGGCATGCACATCGCATGGAAGGGCAGACATGGAAAGGCAGAGGCGCAGAGGGCAAAGGCGCAGAGGGCAGAGGCGCGGAGGGCACCCACCATGGAGAGAATGACTTTGGTGCGAGCCAGGCCTGATGCCGCCTTGCACAGCACCTGGTGACATGCGCGCGGGGAAAAGGGGGAGTGGGGACAGAGGTGGGATGAGAAGGATGAGATGGGATGAGAAGGGGTGAGAAGGGGAGAGAAGGGGTTTAAAGGCGTGAGAAGGGGTGAGAAGGGGTTTAAAGGCGTGAGAAAAGGTGAGAGAGGAAGAACTCTGCAGGTGGTTGAGTATGGGTGTAATGGGTCACCAGGGGTCACTTTCGAGTCACCAGGGGTCACTTTTGAGTCACCAGGGGTCACTTTTGAGTCACCAGGGGTCGCTTTTGAGTCACCAGGGGTCGCGAGTGTGAGATGGGGCCTTGCATATGTTGCACCCGCCATGCATGTGTTGCACCCGCCATGCATGTGTTGCACCCGCCATGCATGTGTTGCACCCGCCATGCATCTTGCACCCGCCATACATCTTGCACCCGCCATGCATCTAGCACCCACCATGCATCTCGCACCCGCTATGCATCTTGCACCCGCCATGCATCTTGCACCCGCCATGCATCTTGCGCCCGCCATGCATCTTGCGCCCGCCATGCATCTCGCACCCGCCATGCATCTCGCCCCCGCCATGCATCTCACACCCGCCATGCATCTTGCACCCGCCATGCATCTTGCGCCCGCCATGCATCTTGCGCCCGCCATGCATCTTGCGCCCGCCATGCATCTCGCACCCGCCATGCATCTCGCCCCCGCCATGCATCTCACACCCGCCATGCATCTTGCACCCGCCATGCATCTTGCGCCCGCCATGCATCTTGCGCCCGCCATGCATCTTGCGCCCGCCATGCATCTCGCACCCGTCATGCATCTCGCCCCCGCCATGCATCACGCACCCGCCATGCATCTTGCACCCGCCATGCATCTTGCGCCCGCCATGCATCTTGCGCCCGCCGTGCATCTTGCGCCCGCCATGCATCTTGCGCCCGCCATGCATCTTGCGCCCGCCATGCATCTTGCACCCGACATGCATCTTGCACCCGCCATGCATCTTGCACCCGCCATGCATCTCGCCTCCGCCATGCATCTCGCGCCCGCCATGCATCTTGCGCCCGCCATGCATCTTGCGCCCGCCATGCATCTGGCACCCGCCATGCATCTGGCACCCGCCATGCATGTGTTGCACCCGCCATGCATGTGTTGCACCCGCCATGCATGTGTTGCACCCGCCATGCATGTTTTGCACCCGCCATGCATGTGTTGCACCCGCCATGCATGTTTTGCACCCGCCATGCATGTTTTGCACCCGCCATGCATGTGTTGCACCCGCCATGCATGTGTTGCACCCGCCATGCATGTGTTGCACCCGCCGTGCATGTGTTGCACCCGCCATGCATCTTGCACCCGCCATGCATCTTGCACCCGCCATGCATCTCGCACCCGCCATGCATCTCGCACCCGCTATGCATCTTGCACCCGCCATGCATCTTGCACCCGCCATGCATCTTGCACCCGCCATGCATCTTGCGCCCGCCATGCATCTCGCACCCGCCATGCATCTCGCCCCCGCCATGCATCTCACACCCGCCATGCATCTTGCACCCGCCATGCATCTTGCGCCCGCCATGCATCTTGCGCCCGCCATGCATCTTGCGCCCGCCATGCATCTCGCACCCGCCATGCATCTCGCCCCCGCCATGCATCACGCACCCGCCATGCATCTTGCACCCGCCATGCATCTTGCGCCCGCCATGCATCTTGCGCCCGCCGTGCATCTTGCGCCCGCCGTGCATCTTGCGCCCGCCATGCATCTTGCGCCCGCCATGCATCTTGCGCCCGCCATGCATCTTGCACCCGACATGCATCTTGCACCCGCCATGCATCTTGAACCCGCCATGCATCTCGCCTCCGCCATGCATCTCGCGCCCGCCATGCATCTTGCGCCCGCCATGCATCTTGCGCCCGCCATGCATCTGGCACCCGCCATGCATCTGGCACCCGCCATGCATCTCGCACCCGCCATGCATCTTGCACCCGCCATGCATCTTGCGCCCGCCATGCATCTTGCGCCCGACATGCATCTTGCACCCGCCATGCATCTTGCACCCGCCATGCATCTTGCACCCGCCATGCATCTTGCACCCGCCATGCATCTCGCACCCGCCATGCATCTCCCACCCGCCATGCATCTCGCACCCGCCATGCATCTCGCACCCGCCATGCATCTTGCCCCCGCCATGCATCTTGCGCCCGCCATGCATCTTGCGCCTGCCATGCATCTCGCACCCGTCATGCATCTTGCGCCCGCCATGCATCTTGCACCCGCCATGCATCTTGCACCCGCCATGCATCTTGCACCCGCCATGCATCTTGCGCCCGCCATGCATCTTGCGCCCACCATGCATCTTGCACCCGCCATGCATCTCGCACCCGCCATGCATCTCGCACCCGCCATGCATCTCGCCCCCGCCATGCATCTCGCACCCGCCATGCATCTCGCACCCGCCATGCATCTTGCACCCGCCATGCATCTTGCGCCCGCCATGCATCTTGCGCCTGCCATGCATCTCGCACCCGGCATGCATCTTGCGCCCGCCATGCATCTTGCACCTGCCATGCATCTCGCACCCGCCATGCATCTCGCACCCGCCATGCATCTCGCCCCCGCCATGCATCTCGCCCCCGGCATGCATCTCGCACCTGCCATGCATCTCGAACCTGCCATGCATCTTGCACCCGCCATGCATCTTGCGCCCGCCATGCATCTTGCACCCGCCATGAATCTCGCACCCGCCATGCATCTTGCACCCGCCATGCATCTTGCACCCGCCATGCATCTTGCACACGCCATGCATCTTGCACCCGCCATCCATCTCGCACCCGCAATGCATCTTGCACCCGCCATGCATCTCGCACCCGCCATGCATCTCGCACCCGCCATGCATCTTGCGCTCGCCATGCATCTTGCGCCTGCCATGCATCTCGCACCCGCCATGCATCTTGCGCCCGCCATGCATCTTGCACACGCCATGCATCTTGCACCCGCCATGCATCTTGCACCCGCCATGCATCTTGCGCCCGCCATGCATCTTGCGCCCGCCATGCACCTTGCTCCCGCCATGCTTCTTGCACCCGCCATGCATCTCGCACCCGCCATGCATCTCGCACCCGCCATGCATCTCGCCCCCGCCATGCATCTCGCCCCCGCCATGCATCTCGCACCCGCCATGCATCTCGCACCCGCCATCATCTCGCACCCGCCATGCATCTCGCACCCGCCATGCATCTCGCACCCGCCATGCATCTCGCACCCGTCATGCATCTCGCGCCCGCCATGCATCTTGCACCCGCCATGCATCTTGCACCCGCCATGCATCTTGCACCCGCCATGCATCTTGCACCCGCCATGCATCTTGCGCCCGCCATGCATCTTGCGCTCGCCATGCTTATTGCACCCGCCATGCATCTTGCGCCCGCCATGCAACTTGCGCCCGCCATGCATCTTGCGCCCGCCATGCATCTCGCACCCGCCATGCATCTCGCCCCCGCCATGCATCTCGCCCCCGCCATGCATCTCGCACCCGCCATGCATCTAGCACCCGCCATGCATCTCGCACCCGCCATGCATCTCGCACCCGCCATGCATCTCGCACCCGCCATGCATCTCTCACCCGCCATGCATCTCGCACCCGCCATGCATCTTGCGCCCGCCATGCATCTTGCGCCCGCCATGCATCTCGCGCCCGCCATGCATCTTGCGCCCGCCATGCATCTTGCGCCCGCCATGCATCTCGCCCCCGCGATGCATCTTGCGCCCGCCATGCATCTTGCGCCCGCCATGCATCTTGCCCCCGCCATGCATCTTGCGCCCGCCATGCATCTTGCGCCCGCCATGCATCTTGCACCCGCCATGCATTTTGCACCCGCCATGCATCTCGCACCCGCCATGCATCTCGCGCCCGCCATGCATCTTGCGCCCGCCATGCATCTTGCACCCGCCATGCATCTCGCGCCCGCCATGCATCTTGCGCCCGCCATGCATCTTGCGCCCGCCATGCATATCGCCCCCGGCATGCATCTCGCACCTGCCATGCATCTCGCACCTGCCATGCATCTTGCACCCGCCATGCATCTTGCGCCGGCCATGCATCTTGCGCCCGCCATGCATCTTGCACCCACCATGCATCTCGCACCCGCCATGCATCTCGCACCCGTCATGCGTCTCGCCCCCGCCATGCATCTCGCACCCGCCATGCATCTCGCACCCGCCATGCATCTCGCACCCGCCATGCATCTCGCACCCGCCATGCATCTCGCACCCGCCATGCATCTCGCGCCCGCCATGCATCTTGCACCCGCCATGCATCTTGCACCCGCCATGCATCTTGCGCCCGCCGTGCATCTTGCGCCTGCCATGCATCTTGCACCCGCCATGAATCTCGCACCCGCCATGCATCTTGCACCCGCCATGCATCTTGCACCCGCCATGCATCTTGCGCCCGCCATGCATCTTGCCCCCGCCATGCATCTTGCGCCCGCCATGCATCTTGCGCCCGCCATGCATCTTGCACCCGCCATGCATCTTGCACCCGCCATGCATCTCGCACCCGCCATGCATCTCGCGCCCGCCATGCATCTTGCGCCCGCCATGCATCTTGCACCCGCCATGCATCTCGCGCCCGCCATGCATCTTGCGCCCGCCATGCATCTTGCGCCCGCCATGCATATCGCCCCCGGCATGCATCTCGCACCTGCCATGCATCTCGCACCTGCCATGCATCTTGCACCCGCCATGCATCTTGCGCCGGCCATGCATCTTGCGCCCGCCATGCATCTTGCACCCACCATGCATCTCGCACCCGCCATGCATCTCGCACCCGTCATGCGTCTCGCCCCCGCCATGCATCTCGCACCCGCCATGCATCTCGCACCCGCCATGCATCTCGCACCCGCCATGCATCTCGCACCCGCCATGCATCTCGCACCCGCCATGCATCTCGCGCCCGCCATGCATCTTGCACCCGCCATGCATCTTGCACCCGCCATGCATCTTGCGCCCGCCGTGCATCTTGCGCCTGCCATGCATCTTGCACCCGCCATGAATCTCGCACCCGCCATGCATCTTGCACCCGCCATGCATCTTGCACCCGCCATGCATCTTGCACACGCCTTGCATCTTGCACCCGCCATGCATCTCGCACCCGCAATGCATCTTGCACCCGCCATGCATCTCGCACCCGCCATGCATCTCGCACCCGCCATGCATCTTGCGCTCGCCATGCATCTTGCGCCTGCCATGCATCTCGCACCCGCCATGCATCTTGCGCCCGCCATGCATCTTGCACACGCCATGCATCTTGCACCCGCCATGCATCTTGCACCCGCCATGCATCTTGCGCCCGCGATGCATCTTGCGCCCGCCATGCACCTTGCTCCCGCCATGCTTCTTGCACCCGCCATGCATCTCGCACCCGCCATGCATCTCGCACCCGCCATGCATCTCGCCCCCGCCATGCATCTCGCACCCGCCATGCATCTCGCACCCGCCATGCATCTCGCACCCGCCATGCATCTCGCACCCGCCATGCATCTCGCACCCGCCATGCATCTCGCGCCCGCCATGCATCTCGCGCCCGCCATGCATCTCGCGCCCGCCATGCATCTCGCACCCGCCATGCATCTTGCACCCGCCATGCATCTTGCACCCGCCATGCATCTTGCACCCGCCATGCATCTTGCGCCCGCCATGCATCTTGCGCTCACCATGCTTATTGCACCCGCCATGCATCTTGCGCCCGCCATGCAACTTGCGCCCGCCATGCATCTTGCGCCCGCCATGCATCTCGCACCCGCCATGCATCTCGCCCCCGCCATGCATCTCGCCCCCGCCATGCATCTCGCACCCGCCATGCATCTAGCACCCGCCATGCATCTCGCACCCGCCATGCATCTCGCACCCGCCATGCATCTCGCACCCGCCATGCATCTCTCACCCGCCATGCATCTCGCACCCGCCATGCATCTTGCGCCCGC